CCCCCCCCCCCCCCCTCCCGCCCACCGAAAACAAATTACGCACGGCGCGAGCAGGAAGTGGACCTGGAGGACTACGTCAACAGACCCGAGAAGGTTAGCGCGGCTGACATCTCCGCCATCGCGCAGGAGGCCGGGCTACAGGCGGTGCGCAAGAACCGATACGTGGTGCTCGGCAAGGATCTGGACAAGGCCTACAAGAAGCACGTCAACAAGCACGACACCGAGCACGCCTTCTACTCCATGTAAAACTCCTTCCACGCCTAGTGTAGAACCTTTGAGCCATCATCGTTTGGTGGGGGGGGCGTTGTATTGGTGCCTGACAGGGGTAGGGTGTGCACTCGCCACCCCCGTGCGGCGTGCGGGCGTGTCGTGGATACGATAGATCTTGCTCCTGCCTGTCAACAAGCAGGAATGAGATGTATGGGAAGGAATGGACTTGGGGTGGCGTTTCATCACGGCGTTCGTTCAAGGCGCTGCTGCTTCTGCTTTGGTGTTTAGAAACTGCTTGAGTGTTAAGGTTGACTGAGTCGAAAGGAACGTTTTTCTCGTTCTGAAGTACTGCCTTAATCTACTTTCGCGAACGGTGCGGCAGGATGTTTCACAGAATGTTCCACGTGGTAACGAATGGCGTTCCGTTGTGGTTCTTGTTTCTTCGCAAGGTCTTGAGAAAACGTTAACGCTAAGACAAAAAGCGTACAACACTCCATTGGAACGAGGTTATCGTGGAACAATTATTGCTGATATGTCGTGGACCATGAAATACGAACGAATAGATGTATGAGCCACCCCCCGAAAACCAAATACGTGTTATCGTGCGCCAACCAAACGGGTCACCGAGGGGATGATCACCGAGCCCGTGAATCATAGGGGTGCTCTCAATCTCTCAATGCAGTCTCGGTGTTGGATTTCTTATCCATGCCTGCTAGCGGAAAAACTCCGGTGGCACGAAAACCTCGCCCGAACACCCGTCCCTTTGATACACGACATTTCAATGCAGGACATGTTCACCATTGGAGGCAAATCACGATACATGCCTCGTCCGGTTCGAGCCCGGTAGATAGGCTACGATCTAGTCTACAAGGCCGGCTTTCTCAATTCGGCGCATTCCCCCAGCAGTTGTTGGGCGAACAGCGGTCCGGCGGTCCGTCGATGCTCTTGAATCGGCATGCCTCTTCGAATCTCGTCGACCTTTAGCAGGTCTGCAATACAATGGCACGCAGGCGGATGTGCGCGAGCACAAGAGATGGGACAAACAGCAAAGACACCTCCGACACATGCATGTCTAAAAATACCAAATGAAGACAGCTACGAGCGTTGGTGGGTCATCTTCGACTCTCTCCGAAATTGTCCGTAAAACAAAAGGAAGGGTGGCATGCACGCACCTCTCGAAGATTTTGGTGGAGAATGAAGCGATAGAATGAAGCGACAGATGAAGCTATAGCCTACACCTGAGACTCCGACCATCACATTTTGTGACAAAAAACTTCAGCTCGCCAAGAAAACCCCGAAAACCTTGCCGGTAGGTTCAGCGTCACGCGTTCCACGATCCCCGTCACCACACCACGACCAACGAAAACCTCTGTTTCACTCGTTTCACTTGTTTCACACCCCTTGTCGGCCGTGGTTTTGCGGCAGAGAAAGAAGCCCACGAGGGTGTGTAGGCGAGGCAAGATACTCCTGAAGAGTAAACTCACCCAGACAGTCCACACCAGTTCACCCAAAGCGCACGCTACAACCAACAAGCACCAGAATGGTGTCGAGAAAGGGCGAAGAACAAGCACAACAAAGCTGCATCGAACAGGTGCCTCCCCCCCCCACCGCGCGCCCGGCCGTGTCCTTACAATATCTGCTCTCACCTATCTCCACTGTGCGGATACATGGGGACTCTTCGCCCCCCGCATCCGCCAAAACCTTTCCCCATGGATCCACGATGAGCGAGTGTCCATAGGACGCCCTTTTCTCATTGTGCTGGCCCACCTTAGGCGGCAGGAAACGGCCGATATTAGGGGGCACGAGCGAAGGAAAACAGGTGCAACACAACCTCTGATTACAACCAAGATGCAAAGCGCATTTTTTGCTAGAAAAGTTATTCAATTTGCTCTGAAATCCATGTTTTTTTATCCAAATCAGATTCCACGCAACTCGTCTTGAATAATTTGGGTTGGGATTACAGGAAAGGCAAGGGGAGAACATGCAGCCTACATTCTTCGAGAGACCCGCCTGTTCATCTCTTGTTTGCACGATTATTGATACACTGTACTGACACGACTGTCAGGCATGAGCGAAACGCTCTCATAGCTCAGTTGGTTAGAGCGTACGCTTAGTAAGCGTAAGGTCCGTGGTTCAACTCCGCGTGGGAGCTTTATAACACTTCTCACTCTTTTTCTTTCGCTTGTTTCTACTTGGTGCTGCCCACTAAAAAGAACCTCGTATGCCCATGTCTTGAGCCCGTGCGAGCTTCTCACAAGTCCAACATGGAGGACCCGTGCTACCAACAAAACTGACCCATCCAACCAACCAGCTGAAACCAGAGACAAAAAATCGAAGACGTTGTAAATCACGATGCAGTTCATTCTCTACATGATATCCAACAATACCTACTACCCTCCGCTACAAATGGTCTCAATCAGATTCCCGGAGACGAAAAACACGAACATACCATACAGCACCTGCGGCTGTTTTGCACTACCAAGCTCTTTTGTATCCCTAAACGAACCGTTCCGGTTCATGCGCCACCAAATACCCGTGGCGATGATCGGCCAAATAACACATAGCATACATGCCCCAAGACATGAGCTGCTGCGAAACCGGAGACTGGGCACGGGTAGCCGTTTTCTCCCGGCCCTTCGAGTCCAACCCTTGGGCATACCGCGTAGGGTAACCAAGAAAGTGTCTCCCGCACGCCTCGCCCGGCGCGCTTCCCCCGGCACACGAGAGACAGGCATGCTCGAGTCACGGAAACTTTGGGCGTGCCAGACTCGGTCCCTGAGGCACAGCAAATACCACCAGAGCCAAGCCCAGCCGCGGGACCGGTGATGGCAGCGGCGCGCTTTAATAGAGCTACTGTACCTTCCCACCCACCTGGGCGGAAGCTATGACGTATGCTTGTGTTTCGATAGCCCTAGCCCGTAGGAGGGTCTCCCAGTGGGCCTCGCCTGTGGGAACGGTGAAAGCGCTTGGAACTAGAACCACCTGGTACAAAAAGAAAACCGCATGCACAAGCACGCCGAAACATCTACCTGCATGAATGGGTTGTTGCGCGAGGTCGGCAACTGTCCAACAAGGTGGCACGCACCGTCGAAGAGTCTTGGCATGTTTCAAGTACCGGGGTATAACGTCGATGCATAGATGGTAGTGTAGATCTGCATACGGATAAAGAGAGGAGACAGCGAACGACATAGAGAGAGAGAGAGAGAGAGAGAGAGAGAGAGAGAGAGAGAGAGAGAGAGAGANCACTCTTGGGTGCAAATGCAGTAGGCACTACTTTACGGGCGCACCTGGGAAGCCATACCGAGGCAGGTGTACATCTCTGGGAACCTCAGGTCGTAGCAGGTCGACAGCCCCAAGCTGCCAGCCGGAGAGTCGCCGCAAACCGACATTTCACGGCCCGCTTCAGTATATCGAGATTCCATGAGAACCGGGCCACCGGGAATATCCTGGCATCGCACGAAAATGTCCGAGAGAGTGAGCGGGGGTATTGCCGCATCGAAGTGCATGAAAAGGGTGATCACAAGCAACGTATTGTTTTCTTTCATCTATCGGTGCCTAAGGTAATTGATTTTTTTCCTGTCGTTGCACCAACCGTTCATTGGAGGTCGAGTGTATCCCAGCGGACAAAATCTAAACGATAGTGATTCATTCGAGACGCGGATGCTGCGCTCACGAAAGAGAAAGAGAGAGAGAGACAGAGAAACACACAGAGAGAGAGAGAGAGAGAGAGAGAGAGAGAGAGAGAG